TGGGGGGGCCCGCCGGATACCGATCTGTGGACTGTGTTGGATCGGATACTGGGCCCGGTAGGTCCACCCCTGACTCTTATAAATTCCTGACCCTCGCACTCTATATGAGATATTTCTCAATTTTATATTTTATAACAAAAGACCTCAATGCTCTAAAAATAATATTAATATCAACAAGGCTGAGGAAAGAAATCACAATTACAGTTTTTATCGAGAAAAAAAGTATCATAATCAACAATGATTGGGTTTTAGAGGACAAGCTACTCTATGCTGTTTCCAGACTTCTGAAGCAGGAACAAGAAGGAATAGGGAGGGGAAGCAAGACTGAAAGACCGCAACAGGCCACAAAAATTGTCATGTGCTTTTGAACCAGAACATCAAGCTCTGGATGCTGTCCAACTAAGTCCAGCACTGTATACAAGAGCATTGCGTACGTCAGGTTTGAGAAAACCTTCATTCATACACCTGTGGGAGCCTCAAGCTGGATACATGAATTTGTCTAGCTGCCTGACCCTATTCCCTATTACAGCGCTGCAAACAAATGATGGCATCAAGAGAAGTTGCTCTACTTTTTAACAGGTATGATGATTACATCACACATATAACTGCAAGAAGTCAAATCTGCTATCTGGTCATATCAAGGTATATGCATAAACTAATTAAAATTAGACAAATTTCCAGAACAGGCAAGAAAATGAAATAAAGCACTAAACTGGTTCATACAGGCTACAAAGATACATTAGCTTTCCACTATTTACAATTATCTTCCCAAATATGCAAGTGTCCCATAAGGATAAGCATACCACTTGTCAAATGTACTTGTAACTGGGCAAGGCCCAGGATGTATTAAAGTGAATCTGTAGCCAGGCTATTGACATATTTTCTTAACAAGCAGCTAATGGGCTTTAAATCAAGCTATCAATGACCTCTAGTGCTGCAACCACTATAAAGCAATGTATCCCCAAAGTTCACTGCAGGAGCACTGAAATTATTTTTTTAGCAGCTAACTCCCCCAGTTCCCGTTTCCAGCACTCAGCAGCTTACCAAACTCCAATGTAAACACATGTTATCTGGGAGGATGAGCTGAGCTGCTGGGAGAATAACTGCAGCACTTCTGATGTGAAAATTCAGGGTGAATTATTTCACAGTGCCTGCCGCTACAAAGGTCAGTGGTGACCTGTTTTAAAGCATTTACTGCTTGTTAAGAATATGTAAATGTGATACGTGAATATATAAATGTGATAAATGTGAAATGTCCATAGCTTAGTATAGCTAAGGATATTACATTTTATATATGCCGCACTGTAGAGAGGCTCTGCAGCCCTTAGAGATCCCCAGCGACTAGACGCTCCCATCTGACCCCTGTAGGCAGCGGAAGACCCATGATCGGCACCCGCCTATATGGGGAGAAAAACAAAGAAGTTCTGTCCCTGCAAACTGACCGACTTCTTCACCATAGCCGGAGCTCTGGCAAGGCAAGATGGCGCCTGAGCTACACGAGGCCCCCCACGCGGCCCTGTTCCGCAGCATAAGGGTCACGCTACGATTACTGCACGAAGGGACGGTGGTACCAGGGGCACTACACCGCCCAGCAGCTCCTCATCTACAGCCGACAGCCCACAGGATTCTCATCGGAGGAGAGAGACTCTGAAATCTTCTACACCCCAGGTACTTCTCCCTCTAGATGACACTAGGGAACTCCATGATCCCATTGACACCTTCCCTACCACTGATTCCCCTGTAGTGGACACGGTCCTGAAGGATATGCTGGTGTCATTACACAGCTCCCTACAAAGTGATATGGTGTCTATCATGCAGCAGATGATGGGAGAGATTCATGAGCTGGGGGACAGGGTGGATCATGTTGAGCATAAGATGGGAGAATATGCTGAAGCCCATAACAAACTGGTGGATGCCTGTGCTGACACATCTGCTGAGCTCCGCACTATGGCCCTGAAATTGGCAGACCTGGAAGATAGAGCCCGGCGGAACAATATAAAGTTCAGGGGGTCCCTGAAAATGTACCTCCGGTACAGCTGCGGGACTTTGTGCAAAATTTGATCAAAGATCTAATGTCCTCTCTGTCAGCCTATGAGACCATTGTTGACCGGTTGCTGAAACCAACCCATTTTCCTTGACTCAGTGCCTAGGGACGTGATAGCCCGCATCCACTGCTATCATGTAAAGGAACAGCTGATGTCCCTCTCTCTCGCTCCGCTACCCCTCTGCCTGACCCCTATAGCTCAATCTCCTTCTATGGAGACTTGTCACAAGCTACCAGAAAGAGGTTGCTACCCAAAAAGCAAGAGCCATGTTAAAGAACCAGTGACCATTCAAAAAAATATATAAATAGCTGGAATAAAATTCTGATGCCTGGGGAATACATTTCCTGAACATACAGACTTGAAGGGCACTGCACTAAGCTTCTCATTGGACTTATATAACTGAAAAAAATGGGTATCCTTAGGATTCAATGACCTGGAACAAGTATCCAGATCAGTAGCACTTCTGATATTTGATGCATTCGTGTTCTGGGACCGACACAATAACTAGCAAAACCAATGGATCACAGATGGGCACATAGCATTTTCAGAAGGAGGTCAGCAATGACAGCCTACATATTTTCTCAGCATAGGTTTCTGTTAGGTAATGACAGATGACCGCATTTTATATTTAAAGAAAATCTTTCAGGGAGAAACACGGAGGCTGCCATTGCTATCTTATGGTTCTGCAAATGTTACTTGCCTGGCTGTCATGCTTCAGGGGTTTGAGTCACTAACCAAGAACAAGTGTGCAGATAAGAACTTCTGGCTTTGCAATGACTTTCCTGATCTGTATCCTTTATTTAGTACTCACAAAGTATCGAAGCCAAAGGTTCATCATAACAGCTTTTTCAGTATTTCTAGAAGGTGGTCAGCAATGGCAGCCCCCATATGTCTCTTCGGAAACATTTACTTTAAAACTGAACTCCAGGCAAAGCACATACTGCAAAGGCAGCCCCCATATGTCTCTTCGGAAACATTTACTTTAAAATTCAACTCCATGCAAATCAAATCCATACCAGAACCTTTAGGTCTGGTCAGGAAGTTAGGAGGGACCCCTATTTAAAAAAAAGGTCATACCAGGCCTTTTAGCTCTGGTAGGAATTTTCAGGAGGAAACCCACCCCCAAAAATGGGAGAGAAAAAAACGTGGGGTCCCCGCCTACAATCCCAACCACACCTTTGAACTGAGAACGAGCGAGCCCCCCCCTGCCATACCAGGCCACATACCCTTGGCACCGGGAGGGTGCTGTTCCAGGGTGCCAATGGGGACAAGGGCCTCTTCCCCACAAGCCCTGGGGCGTTGGTTGTGGGGGGTCTGCGGGCAGGGGGGGCTTATTTGCATCAGGGTACCCATTAAAAAAGGGGGACCAGATGCGTCCCCACCTTCCTTGTGAATGAGTAAGGGGTACTTGTACCCCTTACTCATTCACTAAAGGGTTAAATACAAATAAGTAAAGAGGCCAGACTTTTGAAAAAAGACATTTAATTGAAACAAAAAACACAACAAAAATCTTTGAAAATTCCTTTAATAAAAAAAAATATCCCAAAAATTTATCCAACGACATAATCCAGGGTCAAACTGGGCGTCCAGTGTTGTCATCGATTAAGGCGACTTGTCGAAATTAAAAGACAACCCGACGCCCGCAGACCCGACCGCATGCGATGAACTCCTGCCACAGAATGAAAATTACATCACCGCTAACTCTGCCCAACTGTTTACATTTGGCCGACACCTGGCAGAGTCTTCTTGTTGGTCCCAGACAAATGAAAACAACTGGGCTCATTTGTTGTCATTTAAGGACAGCCCAATGTCCTCAAATAACCTGAGGATGCTGGTTTGTTATCGAAGGACAACAACTTGGCGGAGCCAGCTGTGACATCACGGCTGGCTCCGCCCAGTTGTCATGTAATGACAGCTCAGTGTCCTCGAGGTCACTGAATGAGAACAACTTGGCGGAGCCAGTTGTGAAGTGACGGTTGGCTCCGTCCAGATGTCATATGAGTTCGGCTCGGCTGCTGTACGGGCTATTGTGAATTGTGAAGGGCTCTGGCAGCTGAAGCTACGGCTAGATCCTTTGGCTCCTTCGTGAATACCCTCTTAGTGTCCTGTGTATTTCCTCCGCATACATTTCCTGTGATAAAGACCAATTATTAACGTTCTGCCAGGCCTGAATGGTTCTGCTTCTGTATTGGGTGAAACTTTTGGGCCCCATCCACAGCTCTGATCTCTGTACAGGCTATGTACAGAAGTGATGATAACACTGCTACTTTTACTTTGTAATATCTGGGTCTGCAGAAGCAAATGGTGCACCCAAAGTTGATTTTTATCCTTTGTGACTCAAATTGTTGACAACAGCACACTGAATGACGGTAAAGTTAAATGTTGGCACCACAGGGTGCCAGAGGATACAGGGTGGGTTGGTGATTTCAGGTATTTTGTTTTATTTGTAGGTCCTCTCTAAAGTAGGTTCCCTTTTTTTAGAATGCTAGTTTCATGGCTGTAATGCTGATGCTAATATTTTAATGCTTTTAGCTCCAGAGTCACTGACCTGGAACTGGTATAGAGATAAGGAAGTCTGACATTCATTTGCAGCATGCTTGCTCCTTGAAAGCCTCCATAATTTTCTCATGACATGAGTACTTCCTCCACCAATGGCTTTCCTTCAGAAAATACTAGCTGTCTGGCTTTGCCTGGCTTCAGTACTGCTGACCCAACAAACCAGAACAAGCATGTACCAAAAAAGCATCACAGAAAAGTCATAATTTCTCATCTCTATACTTAAATACTATTTCTAACACTGACAGAATTGAAGACAGAATTGAAGACATCAAGCATCAGCATGTTCAGAATAGTATTCAGCTCTGTATCTACACCGGATATTCAATATTGTTTAGAATAGGGGCATATTAGTCTTTGCATGCAAAACACAATGCAGTAAGGGAGTATTCTGGTCACCTTATCACCTTTCAGTCCAGATTCTCCTGGGTTCCCCGGCACTCCCTGGAAGAAAAAAAAAGAGCAGCTGTTTACAAATATAACAAATATATTTTAAAAATTGTACCATGGTCACTTCAGTAGTGTAAGAGAATTCGATAGGAGAGAGGACACAAATGTGATACAGAGGGAACATATGCTGCACTTATATGCCATAAATGCTCCCCAGAGTTTAGATTTAGTCTTATCCTGCTCATATATACATTTGTTTTCTAGCAATTTCATCAAGATTTTGGTCACAAATAATCAAATGGATTGCAACCCATCGCTGTGTGTGTGTGCATATATAAATATTACAGTATACACACAAACACACACACATGTATCGTATACATCAGTCCTGGTTACAAGGCCAATAAAAATGCAGTGTGTATAGTGAACATATGTGGCTTTATCCCAGCCTTGGACATCCCAATAGGGTGCTCAGGCAGAGATTGGATTGTTTATGGGTACCACTGATATTGCAAATGCTGTTGGAGGAAATCAAACCAAGAGTAGTGGGTCTTGAAAAGAAAAATATGCAGATTTCTCCCCACTCCACGAGTCATTTTTGAAAAGACATCTGTCCATCTTTGGCTAGGCTAATGCTGATCACACATGTTACAAATATACTGGTATGGTCTCCTTTAGTTCTGCCAATAGCTATGTAGTGCAAGTGCCTACCTGACTGGATACAGACAGAATGGATTGTGTAGACAAGCCTTACCATTACATAGTTTTGGCAAAGATTTTTGGAGATTGTACAATCAGATTTGCAGCTTTAAAGCTTGCATCAATGGGCGATTCCTTTATAGGTGCTACATCTAATCCCCTTCTAAGCTGCTTCATGCTTCTCTTGCATTTCTATTGACTTGCATTGAGAGAAAAGAAGTCCCGATTTGAACAAAAGATTGTGTACATAAGGCATTACTCTACCCAGTTAAACTTAAAAACACTAGAGTTAAGAAAGGGCTGTGCATAAGGCACATCTGCTGGTGTGCATTGTGTACCTGTGCTGCAATGCATTATAACAACACATTGCAGTCTTTACATATTGCCTTGCTTTTTTTATTTATTGAACGTTAAATATTATCTGCATTTTTTTTAGAAGTACTGCAACACACCCATATGGGTAAACAAGCCACAAATTATTTTCTAGGTGTCCTTGCGTTGGGTCTGCGTTGATCTGTAGTGATCAGAGCAGCTCAACGGACATGGTGTGAATAAGCCCTAAAACTCCAAAGGATTTTTTTCCATTTGGTACAGAGTAGGGAACAGTTAGCTTCTCTGTCAGGTTTTTCTTGCCATGTACTTGTTGGACAAAAGTTCCCTTAATTTCCTGTGAGGGTTACACCTAGGCATTTTTCTGAGCTGAGCTTCTGGTCTCTGAATATTCCTTTGAAGAACCCACTAGCAGCAAGTGGCAGTGTTGCTGGCTCCCTCAATTGTTCTCCATTGCAAAATTACTTGAGAGGTCCATCTGAATGTGACCAACTACGACTAGTTATACCATGATACAGATAAATAAGAAACCTCAAAGAGTAATACTTTTTGTATGTTTGAGTGAACTGTATGAGTTCACTCAAAATTAAACTTTTTTTTATCAAAGGAGTTCCATACTCCTTGGCATATACATGGCATATTCTGTTTTGCGGACTTACCTTCAAACCTTTAGGTCCCATGAAGCCTATAACTCCAATGGTGCCCATGTCACCCTGATAAGAACAAAATCAGGGAGGTTAGAGACAAGGAATGCCAAAACTGAAACACTGTTTACATTGACCTACAAGCATATACATTTAGCAGTTACTAAATATTTGTATATAATACTAGTGGAATTATTAAATAAATGTTATACATGAAATAATGGGCTAAGCTATAGCTATACTGGCCACAGAGTAGGCAACAAGTCAAAATAAATGCACTGGCTATCTTAGGTGAGATAAAGCTGAAACCTGAGCAACAAACTCCTCCACCAGTACACACATTTATTGAAGCAGCAAATAAAGCAAAGCTGATGTACAAAAGGCGGTAATTTAAAGCAACCACTCTAAGGAGATTTTTCATTGGTTGCTCTATATTTACTGCACTTTGCACACCACTCTTCACCTTTACAACACTCTTCAGTGTTAAAAAAAAGAGAAAAGTGAAGAACCACACAAGACCACAAGAACTCTTTGTAGGAAAAATGAACCCACAAGGGCAAATTTAAAAAGCAAATAAATCAATTATCTGGTTATTTTGTTGCGTTTTTGCTCTTGAATGCAACATTTGCTCACCTCATAGTTTTAGCCGACCTGTTACAATGAGACTGTCACAGGTCGGCTCAGTAGATCGGGAGTTGAGCGAACACATACCGGCATTCGCTCACCTCTCGATCCTGTCACGGCTCTCTGCCGTGACAGGGGAGGGGCTGGATTCCCCCCTCCCCTGACTGGCGGAACGGATGGGCGCAGCAGCTCGCGGTATACTGCAGCGACCCCATAGTTCTCCTTGAAATACATTTGGCAGGCAGGCTGGCCCACATGTTTACCCAATGAGCTCATTGAGCTGCATTGCCATTGTTTGCCATGCACCTGTAACATTCGTCATATACATAATCTGACCTTGGCTGGCTTTGATTGTTTTAAAATATTCACATTTTCCATTTTTATTTATGTTTTATCACCAATTCACTATTGGTGAGCCACAGCAATCAATCAAGCTCCCTTGTATAAACCCACATTTACGGAGCTGCATATAAGGATTTTAATTCCCTGTTCCGCAAACTACTATAAGGCTCTTAAATGGTTGGGCTGAACTCCGCCAGCTTGTCAGTGAATGCAAATAAATCTTGGTGCTAACATTTAAGCATTTTTAGTAAGGATAATTAAAATAAAAAAAGATAAGGAGTTTTTTTTACAGGCCAGGACTACCACTTACATCAATAAATAAATAAAGGCATTAATCCAGCCTCAGACATCCCATCCCATCCTCATGCCCCAGCCTGTCCCAATGTGTATAACTATCTTCTACCCTGCTCACCTTAAGGCGAGTCCTGATAACTCTTTAGGGAAGCCTACGCCGCATCCATCAAAAAGCTACTTTCACTTTCTCCATCAACTCATCCCTTACAGTTTTTACCTTGTGAATAAGTTCCTCCCCCCCTTTAGATTGTAAGCTCTCACAACCAGGGCTCTCCTAACTCTCTTGCACTGTATTGTAACTGCACTGTCTCTCTTTATTTTGTAGAGTGCTGCACAAAGCGTTATATATGGTGCTATATAAATCCTGTATAATAATAGGAAGAAGATGAATAGCTGCACAAGTAAAACCTACTCTTTCACTTCCATATTCAAACCCACAATGAAAAAATGCAAGAGTTATCTCACAGATCAGTGTTTTTCAGCTTATTACAATTAGAATCTATATTTAACAGTCAACATATTTAAGTCCCTCTACAGTTTGTTTAATTACTAGTAGTAACCTATAATTATGTTAAAAGGGATTCTAAATAATCTATAACATTCAAATAAATACTAATATTTAGGGTTTACTGATAATTCTGCACCTACTGTATAGACCCATGCATTTTATTGTGTATTGTTAAATGTGCTTGAGTGGGTTTTTTTCATGTGTTGTAGTACATTTTAGGTGGATTGCTATTTAAAAAGTCAAACCACCCAAAATTGATATTTTAGTTTTAGGAAGATAATGAAACCAACTACTTAGTGAGACAGAGAGCAGTAAAGTCTTGACAGAGGCTTTAATTAGTCCCTACTCTATCCAAAGCAACCATAAAACAGTTATTGCTATACATACACTTTAACTGTCCCCTACTCTGTTTAAAACTAAAACCACCATGATTTATGGAGAAAAGGCATCCTTGCCACTCTTAAAGTAAGGCAGGACAAATATGTGAGACATACAAACATTACACTGGTCTACCAATCTTGGGAAATGATTGACCTCCGAGATAAAATGTGTTAATTCTTACATATTTTGATTAGATGAATTAGAAAACAGGTGATAAAAGGTACTGGTTGGCTAAAGTTTTCAAGATATTTCACAATAAAGATTTATACACAGGCGAGTATATTTCCCTACAAGGGAGGGAGCTGTCTGATTATCATGATGCCTCTTAACTTCTCTACAAAGTACGGGAGAACAATGCAAATGGTACCACATGGAAGCGTAATAATTTATCTTCACTTTGGAGGCTAAAGATTATTACATAACTGTAATTTATTGTTCTTTTATTGCAAGGTACATTTGTCTTGGTCAGGTCTACGCATCATACAGTTACATCTGGTGGATTGTGAAAGTGTCATTGCCTAACATTTCCAAGGAACAGTTGCGTGAGATTTTCCCTCAGAAGCCAAGATGCCTCGAAACTGTGTAAACAACGCAGATAACCTACTGCTAAATTTGTGGGGTTATATTTGCATCTCAAAAGTGCGGTATGGCGGCAGTGGTAAAAAAGGCATACCACCTATATTTCGGATGCAATGTAGGGGATCAGGGCAAGAGTTGGGCCCCTCATTATTGTAGCATTACATGTGCAGCTTATCTGCGTCATTGGCTAAACAAGAAGAAAAAGTCCATGCCTTTTGCAGTCCCAATGGTGTGGAGGGAACCCACCAATCATAGTAGCGACTGCTATTTTTGCATGGTCCCCCAATTGCAAAAGGGATCTCAAGAAAGAAGAAGTGAACCATGGAATATCCATACATTCCATCCGAACTGCGTCCTGTACCCCATGTCGAGGACTTGGTGAGCATAAATCGCACATCCCCCTCGTAGTTTGGAATTATTTTGATGCAATTTTGACCTGAAGCTGTATCTTGGAAATTGGAGCCAATTAATACCAGGACTTAATTTTCCTTTATTAGTGACTCAATTCTGGTAAAATGTAGCTACTTTAATTTCCGAGGCTTTCTCCTTGTAGACCAGTGTTATGTTTTAGACAGCCCTTTATTGTCTCACTTAGACATAACCTGGCAGTTTCATCCATGAAAAACTGCCCAAACCTTTCAGTATAAGCATGATTTCTTTCATCTCATAAAGGGTTACGTTAACACAACCCCAGTGTGAATTTCCTATAGCCCAGTGGTAAGTGAGGTCTTCAGCTATTATTTTATCTGCACAGGCGATCTTCCCATCTGCGTACAGTGACTTGAGGATGGGCTTAGAGCCAAGGACAGCAAGTTTCCTGTAACTAGCTGAAAGAGCTTTCTATGGCCAGTGCAGAAAGGTGCTCTTGTCTGTTATGTACCTGGCTCTACTGTCATTGACTACAAGGATCTGAAGTGCACAAGCAAGGGGCCACAGATCAAAGAAACTTGAGATGTGCTCCTTCATTTTTTCAACAAGCCTGGGACAGATATAATCAGGGGTCCCAGTATTGTGCTGGAGACTTGATCTACTGAGAGGCAAAGTATTGTCTCAGTTAAGGAAACACAAAAGGCTATTTACTAGGCTTATGCACTCCCAGCTGTGATATTATGTGCATCAATAAACCTAAACTGTGCTACTTTACCCCCTCTGTGGTTGCCGGCGGGAATGTCCTTCTCCCATACCAAGCTGGCTTTGACTGTTTTTCCAAGAAAATAAATAAAACATTTTTGGAACAAGGAGGCTCTTATTTTACAGCTCAGCTTTTGCTTTGGTCTGTGACACAATCCTTCATGTTATGGATCTAGAGTAGTGACTTCCTAAAAATGTCTTTACTGCATGCCTGCTTTACAGCATAACCTGTCTATCACACAAGCTAGCTCATAGAGAAGCAGGCTAGGGAAGGAAATAGTCAGGAGGGCAAGACAGACAAGGCAAAGGAGGTGGCTGTTTGCAATTTTTCATGTGAAAGAGGAGTTCCTGGCCTGCAGAATGGACAGGAAGAAATATATCTAAAAAATACATAGGTGGAGGTCAATAACTTCAAGACATGAAAGATTTAAAAGCTTAATGAATCAGTGCAGGCAAGATAAGATATTTCCTGGGCAGCAGGCATTATGAATCGCCCAAATGCTCCGATGACTAGCCTGATACCCGGGCTTCAAGTATCAGGAAGCCGGGCAGCGAGTCATTACGCGCTGCCCGGCTTCCTGCTTGGCCGGACTGGTGATGAGGGAGCATGGAGCCGGCTTCCTGGCCAATCAGGCAGCCAAGTGCTGTGTACTGACTCGTTGCCCGTCTTGCTGATTGGCCAGCTTCGACCAATCAGAAAGCCTTGCAATGAGTCATTACACGGTGCCTGGCTTCCTGATTGGCCAGAAAGTCGGCTCCATGCTTCCTAATCAGGAAGCCAGTTATTATACGTTGCCTGGCTTCCTTAATGGGACTTCTTGTATCGGTATTACCGAGTACAGAAAAAAAATATTGGTACTCGTGCTCGATACCAAAAAAACAGTATCGGTGCATCCCTAATTACTGCAGTGCAAGGAACATGCTGATAGGAGGAGAAAGCAGACTGGTAGAGAGATGAGCTCAGCAGTCTGCTGCTTATACTGTCCAGTCACAGGCTGGAAACTGAGCAAAAAAAATGCAGCAGGGATTAGGGTGGGAAATGCGAGAAAAAAAAATCCTTTGCAGGAAAATTAGCTTCTACATATGTATTTCTTCTGTGTATTTAGCTATATGCGTAGAGTTCTGCTTTAAAGGAAACCTGCCATGAGAAAAACTTGGAGGTGGCCATTGCTGGGAATGAATGTTGCTTGACTCATGCTGATCTATTTGC